TCAATGCAGCCACGCTCGGCAAACAAGATGCAATCCTCAATGAGCAGGATGCGACCCTCAATAAGCAGGATAAAGCCAAGCTGAATAACCCCCAATAAGCAGGATACAACAATGGAAACATAGCAGGTCGCAGCTACCCTCAATAAGGCCGAATGCACTTGCACTTCCTTGCAACGTGGACCAAGTTTATTGTTGCCCCGGTGGCCGCCAAGAAGAATCAGTGCAGATCCGAGGTGATGGGCGCCCTTCCGGGATTGTAGGACTGCCGCGGACAAGCGAGCCTCCGCGGAATATAAATAGACCCCCCTGGCCTGCAGCGAAGGTGATCGGAGGAGCTTCTCTCTGCAGCTTGAGCTCGAAATCCTCAATCGCGCGGCAATGCCCACTGCTGGTATCTACGGCGCGGCGGGGGAGCACGCGACCCCCAGGGCAACCGACGAAGGCGCCCTCCGTCAGCAGGCGCGCGATTTTTGCAAGCGCCCCTCGTCCACCTCATCTCGAGAGCAGCGCGGCCGCCGGGCTGCCACCCCCGTTGACCGATGCTCCTTGTGGCTTCCAGCAGAGCGCCGATGGCGGGCGACCCTCCGGGGCAGCGACCAACTGCCTGCAGAAATCCTGGACTGCTGCGACCTCTGGCACTGCCGCGTAGATCTGCCATGACAACGGCTGCCCACCTCCCAGTCCCGATTTGCTCTGGTAGCCAATGCTATCGGCACAGCCCCAAGTCTGTTCCTTGCCGTGAGGATTGAGATTCGCTGGCCCAACGGGCCAAGCATGCACAGATCCCCGGCAACTGGCCCGCGATATTTCGCGCGCGCGCCTGGCGGCCCCTGGGGGCCCCCGGACGGAGAGTGCAGCGGTTCAGAGACGGCCCCCCCCCCGGGGCGCGGCCTTTCGCGCCCCCGCGGCGCTCCAGGGGCGCGCCAAGCAGGCCCCGAGACGCCCCCGAGACACTCGAAGAGAGCCCCAGGCGGCCGAGAGATCGTTCCAAGACGCCCAAGATGGCCTCCAGGCGGCCTCAGAGACCGCCAAGAAGCTCCAGCGTAGCCTGAACGGGCTTTCCAAGAGAGCCCGTCGCGCATACGACGGCGGGTGCTTCACAGCGTCCAAGACTGCCCAGGGGCGCCCCGAAAATCGCCCCAAGACGGCCCAACGGGCCCGCAAGATTGCCCCGAGACTGCTCAAGGGAGCCCCAAGGCGGCCCAAGAGGGCCCCAAGACGGCCCAGGAGGCGCCCAAGAATGCCAAATAATAGTTTGAGCTTTCCGCCGCAACGGGCGCCTCCGAAACCGCCGGCAGGCGCCCGAGAAGGCCCCGAGAGGCACCAAGAAGTCGCCAGAAAAAAACTCAAGAGGAAACCCAAAAAGTCCCAGATAACCCCAGGAGGCCCAAAGACGATCCAGAACCGGCTCCAAGAGGCCCCCAAGGCGCCTCCCCATGGACCCCAGCAGCGACGCATTGACAACGAGCCCTCGGGCCAGCGGCAGAGGCAAGGCTGCGCGGACGCAAGTCTGAGTCAGACTTGCCGACGCGGCATGGTCGCGCGCGAAGCTCGCGCAGACGGCGCCGAATCTGGCCTCGACGGCCTCGCGCGCGGGGCGCGCCATTTACTCCGGCAAGAAATCGCGGACCACGAGGAAGCCTTGGTCTGCCAACGCCTGGCGCGGACCGTCGCCCCAAGAACACGCGCGATCGAAATCGCACTGGAACAAATGCGCGGGCAGGCTAGGGCGCGAATTCGCCGCCTCCGCGCCCGCGGCAACAACTGCAACGTCTGGCCCTGCATCTGCGCCGGCCTCGGGCTCTGCGCCCGCAGCTTGGAGCTCAGCGCGCCAACGCTGAAACGCGCCACCCGGTCCAAAGAAAAAACGCGCGAGGGGCCCCTGCCGGACCTCGCACCCCCGCGCGACCCAAACCGCTGTTCCGCCCACCTTGACCTCGGAACCAACAGACAGCACATTCGCATTTTTGCCCATGTTGCGAATGCGCGCTGCCGCTCTCGCCGCAATCCGCCCCCTTTCATTTTTGCCCACCCTTCCCCCCCCCCCCCTTCCCCCCCACCCCCCTCCCCCTCCCCCTCCTCCTTCCCCCGTGGTCTTGTTATTCCCCTTCCTCCTCCCCGGGGCCCCCCTCGCCCCGCCCCCGTTTCCCCTGCGCCCGTCGCGCGGGGCGGCGCAGGGCAAGGCCGCGCCCGCCCTCCAGCCTGGCGCACCGGCCTGGAGCACCGGCCTTCGCGCAACGTCGCCTTCACGGTGGCCGCCGGCCTGGCGCAGGCGCGGGCGGCCCCCCGCTCGCCGCCCGCGCGGGTCGGCCGCGCGGCCGCTCGTCGTCGTCGTCGTCGTCGTCGCCGCCGCCGCCGCCGCCGCCCCCGCCGTCGGTCGTCGTCGTCATCGTCGCCGCCGCCGCCGCCGCCGCCGTCGTCGTCGTCGTCGTCGTCGCCGTCATCATCGTCGTTGTCGTCGTCAACGTCGTCGTCGTCGTCGTCGTCGTCGTCGTCGGTCGTCCGTCGCCCGTCGTCGGTCGTTGTCGTCGTCGGTCGTCGTCGTCGTCCGTCGTGGTCCGTCGTCGTCGTCGTCCGTCGTCGTCGTCCGTCGTCGTCGTCCGTCGTCGTCGTCCGTCGTTGTTATCGTCGTCCGTCGTCGTCGTCGTCGTCGTCGTTGTCGTCATCGCCGCCGCCGCCGTCGTCATCGTCATCGTAGTCGTCGTCGCCGTGGCCGTCGTCATCGTCGTCGTCGCCTGCCCCCTTCGTCGTCGCCGCCGCCGCCGTCGTGGTCGCCGCCGTCTTTGTCGTCGTCGTCGTCGTCGTCGCCGACGCCGCCGTCGTTGTCGCCGTCGTCGTCGCAGCCGCCGTCGTCGTCGTCGCCGTCGTCGCCGTCGCGCCGAAGCTGAGGAGGAGCAGGAGGGCGAGCAGGAGGAAGAGGCAGGTGCTGACGGAAACAGGTGGCGGATCATGGGGGATGTCGACCTGTGCGGGCGCGCAGCAAGCGGCAGGAGCCAGGCGAGAGGAGCGAGGATCGAATGGAAGAGGGGGAAGGCGGGCAGGAAACGACTTGGGAACCCAGCGCGACCCCAACTAGGGGTCTTCGTTGTTGCTTGCCTGTGCAATGCGTTGCCTGGCATGTCTCTGCGTCGCCATTATCTGCGTTGCTGCGTTGCCTGGTACTGCTTGTTTGGCACTGCTCTGCGCTGCGCGTGCGTAATTGTTTGGCACTGCTTGGAGGGTCGCAATCCTCCTCCTACGCGTTAGATTTGATTAAGAAATATATAAAAATAAAAAAGGAAGAGACCGTGCAACACTTAAGTTTGCATCTCGACAGCGCCATGGTTGACCCTGGGCGGGCGGGACATCGGGCAGCGTTCAAGGCCGACCCGGGGAAGGCGATTCTGGAGGCCACCGAGTATTCCGAAGAGGCTACGCCGAAGACCCATGCGCGTTTTTCTAGTCGGCGACGCGGAGACCGGGGGGCAGGACGACGCCGCAATTCCCCCGGTGCAATTGAAAGCTGGCAATTGCATCATCCTCGCGATGGCCAGGCTGACAGACGACGTTGGCGCAGCGGCGACGATCGCGAGCAGGCGCAACAAGGTGAACATGGACGCTGCAGAGAGCCAGGTTCGGACGCGCGACAACTGCAGCAAACTGACGAAGCAAATCCTGGCGCCTTCGCTGGATTTTCCGACTGGAGAAGGCAAGTATCAGATCCACGTTGAAAATGGCGACCACCCGCAGTGCGCGGCCGCGACCCTGCTCCAGCACGACGTCTGTCATCTCTCCGTGGGAGAGAAGACCCACGCGACCAAGATTACGACCGCGCGTCGGTGCTAGTCGGCATGATGTGCAGATTCAAAATATCTCGCTCAGCTCGTGATTTCGGCCGAGGAATTGCCTCCAGACTCGCCAGAACGCATGCTTCTTGACCTGGCAGCGGGCGGATCGGCCGGCGAGAGCGCGGGCGGCTGCGGCGCGCCCTGCACCAGGGGCAAGGGTCTGCGGCAGGACATCTCCGACGAGCTCGAGACGCATCCGGAGTTCTGCGTCTGCGGGCGCAGGCTCTGCAAGACGGGCGATGCGACCCACGAGGCCGTCGCCCATGACCTGCGCGATGCGAAGACTGCGACGGTTACGCCATGGCAGTGTAATAGCAAGAAATGCCGATTGACACGAGGCCCCAACTTCGCGTGGGTCGGGGGGCGCAAGAAAAACACTGCCTCTCTCGCCGACCTGGAGGGCGCCGGAGTCGCATTTATCTTGAGCAAGCGCGGCTTCACCCCGAGATGCGTGTGGCGCTACAGGCAGTGCTTTTCAGGAATTTCCCATCGCCCAGGGGCTCCGACTGGGCCCAGTAGGATCTGTTTGACGGCGTCGACGGCAGCGGTCGGCAAGGGAGGGGCTCCCCTTTCGACCTGCGTGCACCTTACACTCGCGCTATCTTGCACGTGCTGGCCGAGCAGGAGTTGGAGCCGCTCGACGAGCATCTCGATTTCTACGCGGGGCGGGGGGGGGGGGCATCGGCGAGAGCGCCCTGAGGGCGCGCGACGACCACCTCCACCAGCGCGTCTACCCGCCCGCCAACCCCGCCTGCGTTACTGAGCTAGTGGGCGACGGCCACGAGAAGGAATTGGTGCGTTGCAGCGGCGGCCGTGGTCAGCCCATGGGGAACGTGCTGAAGATGCCTTCGGCTGCTCGCAAGTTCGCAGTGAAGGCCGCGATGAAAAGGCCCGCTGCTGCGAATACTCGAGCCAAGCCTAAGCCTGTCGCGAAGAGGGCCGCCGCGGTCAGGAAGCCTGCGGCGACCCATGCTGGCGCGAAGCGCAAAGTTCCCTAACCTCGGCGCCACAACAACGGGTGGCTCATGCTTCTGGCGACGAGCGGCCGCGCGGCGGCCGTTACCGAGCAGGCCGCGCCAGAGAGCCACGACATTGCCAAGTCCACTATCCTAAGGGCCCCCCCCGCAATATCCGAAGGTCAACTGTTTCATATGCGACGGGGCATGCTCGGCGATGCCTCCGGCGATGCTGGACGAACAGTTCGACCGGGTCAAATATTGGATCGTCGACAAGCTGCCCGCCCAGAAGCACGCGGCCTCCTGCGCGTGCAACCCGCTGCACATCCATCGTTTAAAGCTCCGCGTCAGCGGAGTTAATGCTCAGGTGGCAGAGCAGTGCTTCTCCTGGTTTCGTGGCTACTCGCGGATCTTCAACGAAATGTCGCCGTGCCGCCACCGCTTCTTGGCCCCGTGTTTCGTCGCTGAGCACAACTCCATGTCGTCTGCTGGCGACGCTGACCACCCGGGGCACCTGGCGGCAATATGTAGCAAGATGCATAGGAAGCCCAGCGGGCGCCGCCCGTGCGCTTGAGGCGAGGGCATGCCAATTTCGCTGGGGCAGGGCAGACACGCGCGCCGCCTTCCGTTGAGGTTTGTCGCGCTTCTTGTGCGACCGCGCGCACGTCGGCAAAACTCGCCATAAAATATTAACGCATGCGAGAGCGTAGACTTCACTTGCGCGCTTGCATGGGCGCCAGAGAAAGCTGATGCCTGTATGTTCGCATGTCTTTGTGCATCGCGCATGCATGCATTGCTGCGCGCGCGTGCACCTTCATCTGCGCACGCGCGCGCACGGATGCGCGCAATGGCATTGCGCATGCGCGCGCGAACATGCACGTTGCAAGTATGTCGTTTATTCTGATTTATGTTGAAAGCAACGGCCCGTGAGGTCCGACAGAATTTCGATTGTCTCGAACGTCATGTCGACGCGGCCTGCGCGGCCGAGGGGGGCCCCAGAACGCACCGGCCTCGAGAACGCAAGAGACGACATGAATTACACGTTGTGTCGGGCGTCGCGCTTCGTTGCCCCATTTTGATCGAGCGCCCCGAAAATGTCAAAACGCTTGAACTATGCTGGGCGCGTTTGTTCTTCGGCCTTTCACTTGCGCCATAGGTTGCGCCTTCGCCCGCCGAGAACAAAATGGCCCCCTGTCGAATGCGCTATAGGTTGCGCCCTCGGCCGGGGATGGCGAAAAAACAAAAAACATCGGTTGCGCCATCGGCCGCGCCCTCGGCGCCCGCGCGCGAAACGGGCCGCGCCAGAAATAAAAGGAGAGGACGAGCAGAACAAATGGCATCGCATGATGTCTCAGCAGAAGGCAAACCTCGCAGCTCACGGGCCCGCCAGCCCCGCCCGCCGCGGCGCCGAGCCACCGGGGCATCTCGTCCACGAGCCTCGGGGCCACTTGTTCTTCTATCCGTCCCTTCGTGATCGTCGTCGGTCTCCTGTTCCCTCCTCCTCCTCCCCCCCCTCCTCCTCCGCCCCCCCACCTCTCCCCCCCCCCTCCCCCGCCCCCCCCCCCCCCCCCCCTGAGATTCGGTCTCTTTACAACCAGAACAGCCACTTTACAACCAGATGGGTTACTTTACAACCAACATAGGATTGGAAAGTATGTCTGTTCATCGAGAACGTCCACTTTGCAACCAGAACGGCCCACTTTACAACCAGAACGGACCACTTTACAACCAGAACGGGCCACTTTACAACCAGAACGGACCACTTTACAACCAGCTCAGAGTGGCCATGCGTGTTTGGGCGTTCCGCAAAGTGCTCCAGAGCAAGTGGGCGCTCTGAAAAATGCCCCAGAGCAATTGGGCGCTCTGAAAAATGCTCCAGAGCAAGTGGGCGCTCTCAAAAGTGCTCCAGGGCGCGCGGACGCTCTGAAAAATGATCCAGAGCACGTGGGCGCTCCGGAGCCCGAGCGCCTGAACTCTCTGCGCAGGCCCCAGCGATGCCTCTGAACCCGAGCGCCTGAACGCCCCGCGCAGGCCCCAGCGATGCCTCTGAGCCCGAGGACCTGGACGCTCTGCGCAGGCCCCAGCGATGCCTCTGAGCCCGAGGACCTGGACGCTCTGCGCAGGCCCCAGCGATGCCTCTGAGCCCGAGCGCCTGGACGCTCTGAGCAGGCCCCAGCAATGCCTCTGAGCCCGAGCGCCTGGACGCTCTGGCGCTCTGAGCCCAGCAGACTAAGACAGGGCTTGCTAGCAGGGGCCAAGCGGCCTCAACAAGGGCCCCGTGCTCGCACGGGAATAAAGCGACAGCATACGTAGGAAGGCCCAGGGCGACGCGCTGCCCATTTTAGGGATCACTCACAGGAAGCGAGCCCAGTGGCCTCCACAAGGGCCCAGCGCCCCAGGGAACTAGGCCATTGGCACCGCGGGTCTCTTGGGCCACGTTGGCCCCTGAAGCCCCACGGTGTTCTGCAAGGGGCTAAGTGCGCCCGCTCCAGTTGGCCCCCTGCTGCTCCTCGTCTTGGAAGATCGAGGTTCAACGTCCCGAATGAATGCAACTATTTCGAAGATCGTTTCTTCCAGCGTCAGCCACGGTGCCAGCGCAGCAACGCAGGTATCGTGCCCGGGCAGCAGCCTCAGCCACCGTGCCAGCGCAGCAGCTTGAGCCACCGTGACAGCGCATCACCGCCACCTTTGTGCCTGCTACTACCACACTTACCGCTGCAGCCCCGCTACCTCCACAATTCCGACTGACCCCCCGCTACTACCGCAAATCCCATTGCAGCCCAGCTACCACCACAGTTCCGACCGTTGCCTGGCGACCACCACAGATGCCACCGCAGCTTCCCAACACCATGCAGTTCCCATTGTAGCCCCCGCTTCCACCACAGCTCCCACTACAGCCTTCCACTGCCATGCAGCTCCAGTCTTGGACGGGGTCATGGTTTATTCGTATGTCCTGCGCGACTAGCCTTCGCCCGTCAGAAAAAGGCAGAGCAAGCAATGGCAGAACTGACCGACAGAGCTTAGAGAGCAGGTCAAAACTCGAATCCGCCCACCAGCACGCAACATGCCATAGC